ACTGATAACTGCATAGAAAATGATGATTGAGGAGCCTCGGGACGGAAATTCCTCGGCTCCGTTGCGCACGCTACTTTCAACATAAAAGATTTCATAGAAATTAGCGGGTTCCGTTGGTCGAAAATGTTGCGGAATTCTTGCATCGTTTTTTTTTTTTGTTCCTCATTATTATGCTGACAAATAACGATGATTAATTTATAATGAATTTGCTCGACCTTTCGCTCCTATCGCTGCTCGCTGTTGTAAAATAGTCTCGTTGTCCATTGTAGCTTTCATCGCCCCACCATGCCCCTCCAGCCCGCTAATTCGTGTTCTCGAATGTTTTGTTGCTTCCAAACATATTCGTAATTCCGGGACTCTTAATCAGGACCAATGTAGTTGCCTAAGACGAATGTTATCACTCGGCACACAAGTGAATTGATTAAGCATACGCTTCGCAACAGATGGTTATTCTAATAAAGTCACTTTTAGTTTCTATTACATTGCTTTACCTTCCGTCTTTTCGAGCATCGTTTGCAAACAATCTTCGAATGGTCTTTGGGAAAGGAAGACAAGAAAAATGGGAATATAAAAAGAAAAGGTGTCTTTGGCCACAATATTGGCCACAATATTTCTCTATTATTTTAACGTATTACCTTTGCTTTTCGTATGATCTTTTCACGCCCCTTTATTCAATAAATTTCATCGAGTACTGTTCAGATGTATGTTAGAACGATTCATTATCATTGGTTTTTAGCATTGTGAGGTATTAAATTGATTTCGATAAGCGCCGACGAAGATTCAATTGAATAGTATGAAGCTAATAATTGACGCTGCGTTAAACCACTTTTCTACATCAATAAATTCCCTCCTAAATGCACGTCTGCATTTACCTTTTAAATCAGTTGCACTTTAATAACGAATTTTTCCAACAGATTTTTAACTAAATACACGTATGTACATCAATACTCAATGGCACAACCAAATACCATTTGTTGGGATTGAATTAAATCGCATATTCAACGAGATGTAAAAGTATTCTATGGTTTTCAATACATTTTTCCATTATTTCTTCGTGCAAATATATATCGGACAAATAAGCAACTGCCTCTAGCTGCTTATCATTGAAATTCACGCATTAAGGTGACTCCCTTAGCAGCATCCCTGGCCAATAAGTCCAATCCATACATTGGAAGTGTCGCATCTTAGAATACATACGCATAAACGTCCTTCGTTAGATCATTTATAATAATCGTTCTAAGCTGATGATGGTGAAAGAAAGTGCTAAGCCTACGAACGGGCAGGCTGCGACTAATCGGCAATTCAACTACAATTAGAATGTTACAAGTATTTTAATGGAAGTCGAGTGGTTCGGCGTACACATTAGTCGTATTCCAATCGCATATACATAAACAGCTCGTTCATTCTGCTCGTTAAATAATACGATGCGGAACACGACAATGCGGACGAGCGGACCGGAATAGAAAATTAAACGACGCAAAGAAAGACGTAGCTCAATAGCAAAAGTATTTACGAAGCGGAAAAGGAAAGGCCGCGGTAGCACGGATTGCGTGCAAAACCCGCGCGATCTCTTCTCAGATGCGGAATTAGTTGGCGGTGGCAGCGGTGGTGGCGGTGGAGGCGACTCGAGACAAGGGCAACGCAACGAGCGTAAATCAGGGAACTTCGATCGCCCTTCGATCTCGCTCCGATCTCGCGCTTTCCTACGCGACTATCGAACGACGCCTGTCCCTGGCACCTGACAATCCCGCCATCCAAGAGAGACGTAACTCGTAACCCAACTGACTTTCCATTTGGTCCATCAATGCAGATTCCACGACCGTAACTAGCGCTTTCACTCTCACGTAAGCGGCGCTACCCGATCGATTTATTTTCCACTGACGGCAATTAGGGGTTTGGGGGATGCGCGGAGCCTATTCTTTCCGCTCTCTCTCTCTCTCTCTCTCTCTCTCTCTCTCTCTCTCTCTCTATTCCCATTCGCCTCTCCGCTAATGGCACTCTGCCATAGTCCTCCCTGTCCGAATGTTCATTAGCAACGCGTCGCAGCGACTCTTGGCTCCTCTTGAACCGTACATGATCGATAATTTCTCTTGAGCGACGATCGATCAGCCGGGGTTAACGCACCGTAGGCGCGTGGCGCCCGGGTGCACAACTTACAAGCTCGGCGACGACTCGCTCGGCAATCATCCGCGACAAAAATTCATCTCGACACGGCCCTCGTCCGGCCAATCGATGCCCAACAATCTCATTGCTACATTACCAGTCGGAGCCCCTCTCCTCTCGCCCCTCTCGCCCCTCTCGCATCGGCCGCGCAGTGACCGTATTCGCGAAACACGAGCCTCCGGAGGTGAAAACCGTAAGTCGTAATTCGTCTCGTGCCGCGAGTCTTTCTTGCGGCCAAATCCGTAATTCGATAATTGACGCTCGCTTAAAAGCAATCGCTTTATATTCCGGTGCCGCGGCCGCGCATTCGAAAGCAGAGACTCACAACCGGAAGTCCTGTCAGTACAATCTTTCACGGGATAGCGCCGCTCGCCGCGATCCGTTCGTCTTATGGAAAATTAACGAGCGGCTTTCCCAGCGAAGAGAGACGCACTGCGTCCCAACTCGCTATTTAGTACGATTAAACCTTGGGTCACAGCGGCCACTTCACGCATTGACGATTAATCGCTCGTTATTCAACGTATACCGCCCGCAACAGGTGCTCATCTCCACACACCCCTCCCACCCAAGATTTTACAAGCTATATTAAAGGATATTAACGAGATGCTAATAGTCGGATAATAGGCGAATAATTTCCAGCCGTCCATGCTCCACACTGTACGAACGATCTTGATTAATTAGGGCGCGTGCGTTTGAAATTATTTAGCGGAAAGGAGAATCGGGAAAGGATCGCCGGCCAAAGTAAATGAATTCGCTATTTATTAGAAAGTGGATATGGATTTCTTCTTCGGCGGGCGGCGATCCCGCGAGGCGTGTCGTATTATCATCATCGGTAGCCGTGGAAGAAAAATGATCGCCGGTACGGAAAGTGAGATCGGGAGACCACGAGCCGGGCGCAATCAGCGCACCTGCAGTATCATAAAGTTTCACTTCTCCTTTTGCGCGCCGATCGTGTAACCCGTTGGTCGTTGACACAGCGTCGTTAAATGCCGAAACGCCGACGACCGACGAATGGACGAGACGAGCCGAGGCTCGATAAAGCGGCGACTTCCCCGTGGACTCGTAATTTCCTTGTCAATGGCGATCGCTCGACTCTCCTGAGGCTAATCCCTGGGCAGCCGGGCCTCGCGGGTAAATCACGGTGCGGCCGACTGCGGTGGTGGGACGAAGGTGGAGGGTTCGGAGAACACGTTGCATCGATCCGCATAGTAGACGTTTGGTGTTTAATTGTCAGTCACACGTGCCGCTGACGTAACGGCCACAGCTCTCGGATTATCATTTATCCCGGTGTGGCTGATTTTCACACCCGTTGACGGACAAACTCGCCCGGATAATGGCGATCTCGGCACCGACGCAGCCGGGCAGTCGCGACTCTAATAACTTTTACCGACGCCTCCGCGTCGATTGAGCCTATGGTCGATGGCTTTATTCCGGGGCTAGAAAAGTCTCTCGTGTCGCGCTGTCGCGACTATCTTATCGGTCGCACCGCGTCCCGTATCTGGTGCGCGGCCTTATTGATGAGCACATCGTCCTGGAGGGAGGGAGGGTCGTGTCGAGCCGCAATACAAGTACCGCGAACGAGCGATCGATCGCGCATCGCCTCGTGTGCCCGAAGCCGAGAGACGTCATCGTCCTGGCTCCATTATCTCGAAGGACCGAGAGGAAACGGCGGAGATAAGAGGAGCTCGTTCGTCTTGTAACAAACAAGCTCCGGGCGGCACCAATTATCAGTGACATTGAGGGAGGGACGAAGGAGGAGAGGTGCTCCTATTATCTACCCCCCTCCCCCCTCCCATCACCCTCCCCATCCGACACGACAACACATACACACATCACCACCATCAGCACCACCACAACCACCATCATAATCACCAACAGCACTTAACCACCTCAGCCCTCCCCGTTCTCGTCCGGGAAATCGAAAAACAGTCGGAGCGGAAATATTGCCATATAATAAATAGCCATATAGGAAATAGCGGGGTTATGGCTCTCGCGATCGACTCGATAGGCCGAAGCGACAATTGTAAGAGTTGACGTGATTTATGCGCGCCACGATATTCCTCGACTTATACGGTCTTCCGAAAGTATAAGTCGTTAACTACGCAGATGCGGAAGCAGAAAGGGTCTCGCCTAATTCTCGCGAGCTCGTCACATGATTTTTTCACGGTGGGTGGCCTGGGGAATGGTAGGGATGAAGAAACGAGGGAAACCGACGACGCGAATTAATGACTCGATAAAGGGAAGTGGCCTTGGCGCCCGACGCACCCCAAAAACTCGCCCTCGCGGACAAGTGGCGTCTGCTTTGGTCTCGTCTGCTCTGTTTTATTCCCCCGTACACTTACTCGTGTACTTACTCCTCCCCTAACACCGTTTGGCTAAAGCGTCGTAAAAGACTTGGTACCCCCTCCCTCCGCTTCCTCGCCCATCTGATTACCCTCTCTTTTCTATTTGTACTGGCGGTCGGGGACGACTCGTAGATTTCACCGCGGGAGATCCAGCGAGGTTTCCTATCGCGAGGTCGTAAATATGATCGGGATTGCCACGTCTGGGTCCTCTTCCGCGAGCTGATTTTTAGTGCGTCCTCGTAAACTGGACATTACGACGATTTTAAAGACGGGGAATTTATTGCACAAGACACGATATTTTATCGATTCAGGTTCTCAAGGCGGAAGAATCCACGTCTGCGTCGGATATTGTATGTGATTCGGGACTTTAAAGCATGCAAATTAGCAATTATCGAGGCTGGCCGAAGGCGAACGACTCGATACCCAATATAGAAATTACGAGAACAACGTTTCCGACCATAACTAATTCTTATGGCTCTTCCTTGTTCGCAGAGCTTCCTGGAAGCGAACTCAAGATGCTGGTGGAACGACGCCTTGGTCGACGCTACCCAGCAGCTAAGGTACAAAGGCCACGTGGCGCCCGGCATCCTGATGGTCGGAGGCCCACCCTGCGCCCTCGAGGTCCTAAGGGCAACCTGGGCGCGCAACGTCCTGCGACCGCCGGCGGATTACTTTATCAGATTCCTCGGTGAGCTTTATCATAATGTCGATAAGGGGTTGTGCCACGCCCCTATAACACGAAATATCCCGGGCGTCAGGCTAGCTCGCGTACCTTTGATGGCGTTTTACCTCCTGTCACTCCTGAGGACTCGTCCATGACTCGATACTTACCTCTCTCTCACTCTCGCTCTCTCTCTCTCTCTCTCTCTCACCCTCTCTATCTTTCACTCACTCACGCACTGTCAGTGTCTGTGCGCCGGCTTATGCGCTGGTCAGTCGCCTTATAGCCTAATCGTGTCGAAAGCGGATGCTGGGTCGCGTTGCGTCCCGTCGCCCATCCCTACGACATCGACGTCGTTTCGACATCGCCGCAAGTGCGGATCCAATTATAACTGCGGTGTTATTTTTCTTACGTAAACCAAGGTCGCGGTATGGCTCGTGGAGCACGCGCCTCTCTTTCCTTATTGTTCATTGTGCAACGCGGATAATTATTCCAGGGCATATCACGAGTCAGCGCTCGCGAGGCCCACTTCCCGTTAATTATTTGTCTGCGCACGATGCGCCGATGACACTAGGAGGTGCCCTCCCCCCGTATCTCGACCGCGCGGTAATTCCCTGAAGCCTGGCCGAGCCCTGCCAAGTAAGCTAATTAGCCGACAAGGATAATTGGCCAAGGAGACGAGAGGTATAAACTCCCACTCCAAAATTCGCGTATATTCCTTACTACCATCACTACCAATGCTCGTATTATACGACAATTTTTCTAACCGCAACTCCTAACTTATCCGCAATACTAAACGAATAAAAAAATCAGGTTCACGTCCCGTGGCACTTTTACTTAGTAAGGAAAGTATTATACGTTGGATTTACAGGACTGAAACGCCTATTGAAATATCTTACGGCATTTCAAATTTATTCCGAAGAATGCAGTTGTCGCCTCGACACCATTATACATGTGTACACATTCATGCGCATTGGTAATTAAGCGTATAGAGCAGGTCATATCGAATGTACGCAGTTGTCGGCTATTCGTGGGACACTTTACTGTATAATGATACTGTAGATCGAAGGGTCGATTAATACGATCACCAAATAGGACATAATACGCTGAGGTAGCCAAACTCTAAATAATCAAAGGAACGATCGATCTAGAAGATACACACCCACTCACACACCCACCCACCCACACACACACACACACACACACACACACACACACACACACACACACACACACATGTATATAATTCTATAAGATAATCAACTTATATAAGATAATCAAGGGCCATATGATCGAGCTTTACGTCCAACAGACGGACTGAACAAATTTACTTTTCTGATCGTTGACAATCGCTCGCTCCTGCCTACGATTTTACATTAAAAGAACCAAATAAATTCCGAAATTTTGATATTTGTCTTATCTTGTTATTTTGAGGGTATGATGTCGATTGATAGGGCCTCACAGCTGCCCATAATATAGGATCGAAATTCCAATCGAGCCGAGTAATTGGAGGATACAATTAACGAAATTCTCCCTTCATTAATCACGTATTAATAGCGATAGTCTTCGAGTTAATATCGAAATACGGGAGAATTAGCCAAAAGCATCTTTATCGAATCATCGTTCATTTACGTTGTCTTCTCGTCGCCTGAATTTGAAATCAATCACAAGACGCGTCGAATTTGGCTTGGAGAAATTAATAAATTGTAACATAAAGAAAGTGTGACTTGATTGCTTATACAATTCCTTGCGTAAATAATCTGAATGGCAGGACTTATCGATGATTTATGATTCAACTCTCTTCCTGCCTTATAGTTTAACAATGTTTGCATTAGCTTGACAAAGAGCTCGAGATAAGGTGGAAAGGAAAGCGTATCATCGCGTGGATTATCTAGACGTTAAATTGTATGCGCACAATAATTTCGCGTCAAGGTAAGGCATATCAGCCGAAGGATATTAACCTAATAAAACTCTTTAGTTCCCTTCGCGCTTTATTGCTATTAACATCACTCCACCCACAAATTGCGAAATAAAGATTATTAATTTAGCCAGGAGGGCGAAATAAATTATCCGCTGAGCCGTATGCCAGTGAGTTCATCGAGTCGAAAGTAATTTGTAATTTTTTCCCCGACTCGCGCGCGGCGCACAGTCGCCATACCGATATTCCAATATGTCCTCCGACAACTTTTCATATTATATAAAAAAAAAGACAAAAAATTCGCACACTGAATTACGGAGGAGTGAGGGGTGGCGGAGGAGTAGGGGGTGGGGGGTAGAGATGAGGCAAAATGTCGCTATTCGATGAATGTTCGGGACAAGTTGGTCATCGACTTTAGTGAAATTTAGCTTATTCGCGAGGTACGTCCGCAGTTGGCTAGCGGCGCATCCAGCTTACGTCACTCATGCGTCGCCCAAGTGACCGTTCCTTTCCGGCAGTCTTTCTCTATCGGGCATATACAGTGAAATTGTCTATGAGAAGCCGCGCGATAGAAGCGTCTCTCTTCGATCGCTCACAGGCGTCTCGACCAATTTCTCTCACATTTACTTATAGTCGGCGTCAGTGACGCAACTCGATTGTACTTAGAGCGGCGGCAATCGATAGGACTTTAATTCCAAGCTTGGCGCGAGAAACGGCGGACAGATCCTTTCGTTCTTATAAGAGGAGAGACCGTTAGTTGCCCGCGGCACTTCGCTCCACATTTATTATTCGCAATCGCGCACGCGAAGAGTGCCGGCATTGTACGTTGTCGAACATTATGCGATATTGCATACATTAAAATCTTGGCGAAAAATCCTGACATTAGAGCAGATTGGATCTCTAATGAGCGAGCGAAGAAGATGGCGGATACGGTGATGGTGGTTTGTATGGGTGGGGAGACGTCGAGGATGTATGTGTGTATTGTGTTTGGCGGCGGGGATGATTGGTGGGATGGGGGGGGGCTGTTCACCGCTATTTTCCCTCGGCGTCCGTGCTTTCGAAACCCGAAATGCCTCGATTAGCCGAGCATGCGACGAGTGACATCGTTTCGCCGATGCGCGAGTTTCGTTTATTCATTGTCCGCGTCGCGCGCGAGTCATGCAAATTGCCGCGAGCGAGCGGAGCTCCGCTGAGACTCTCACGCTCTCCCTCGACCGAGTTTTCATCCGGGGACTTATCGCATCTCCGTGCATGTCGATAAGCTCTCGGGGCACTACGTCCCAACCGATCGCTTCTCTCGGTGTCGCGATTGCCGCCCGATTAACTGGCGAATCGTTACAACCCACCGCTCCATCCCCCCAAACCACCCGCCCTCCACCTGATCGCCCCCGTTTCACACCCTACCTTGAAATTCGATTCATCCCGCAGCACTTTCACCATCTTCCTTGACGATCGTCCGCCTCGTTAAGAGAGCCTCGTTCAAAGTAAACAATAAATCTCGCTCGCCGAATTACTTGTAAACGCAGCATCGCGATTGTCTTACGCGAGAGCCGCTTTCATTTCGCTCTTGCGTAAGCCCTTGCGCTCTATGGAGAGGAAGAACAGACTTTGGCTCCTCTTTCTTGTTCCATTTTTCTCCCCGTTCACGTCACTGCCACCGACCACCGCCCGACTCCCAACACCCGAGATTTATAACAAAGGCCGTTGGGTTGCATTGCACGGTGGCACAGTCGGTGGTTAATTGCAACTCGCCTCCCTCCACTATCTGCATGCAACAGACTATTAAATTATGAAGCGAACGAGTCAATTCTCTTGGCGAACTTTCGAATTCGTTCTTTTAAGAGAGCGAAGAAAGAAGGAGAGTCGGTATAAAAGAAGGAGAGGAGGATGAAAGACGGGCAGGGGATCTGTGCTTGTGAAATATTATTTCACCACCGCAAAACGTCTTTATTACGGCGGCTCGAGTACATGGTTTTTTTATACTGAAAAGAGAGGGTGGCCGATGCATTCAACGCCTACGGAATTAAAAAACCGTAAAGAGGGAAGAGAGAGAGAGAGAGAGAGAGAGAGAGAGAGAGATCCGCGTCAACAACGGCCAAAGCTCACTTCGACACGATTATGACGTACACAAGTGTACCGGGCAGCATCCCCCAATAGTTCCTCCTCCCGTCTCTCTCTCTTTCTCTCTCTCTCTCTCTCTCTCTCTCTTTGCCTCTTGTCCTCCTACGTACGCCTCCCGTGCGGCTCAGTCAGTTCGCACGTAAATGAGATTTCGTGCACGATTTCGTTCCGTTGTAGCGCATCTCCCTAATGACGGCGAAATTAATTGAATATGCCGCGCTCTCGCGAGACGACGTGGCATTACTGCTTGTGCAATAATTCGAGCGGAGATCGTGCAGGTGAGGGAGTTGTCCTCTTTCGAGGAAAGCGGAGCGAGAGTGCATTTCGTTGTCGCGCCGCCAGAGAAGGAAAAAGAAAGTCGGGAGCGCGCAAAAAGTGCGGCGAGCCCCTCGGTCGTGGCAGCCTCGACGCATTGGCCCGCAGATTCGGTTTCTTCAGATTCCGCAGATTCACAATTCTATGGACGCTGCACTCAGTCGCGAATTCATTTCCTCGGTATACACTGGACAAACTCGACAAAGGGAAGACCGTTTCTTACACAGCAGACTGTCGTACGGGCTGGGGTGGTGGGATAATGGATGTGAGGCTGGCAAGAATAGTGGTGAGGAGTGGATGGAGGGATCCCGTCGACAGACAATCCCGACTGTCTGTCTACAGCCCGATAAGAGGGCGTGGGATTGGCATGAGTTTCGATAGAATCCAAAGTATGGGGATTTACGAAAGCAGCTGCAGTGCGCCTCGTAAAAAGGATAATGGGAAGGAGTTCTTCAGTCTTCACTCGTCGTGAAAAGCCGATTAATTTCGCGTCGTGGCTTGCGATGAGCACCGTTTACAATTATTAATGCTGCGCGCGTGTCATTGAAAGCAATAATCCCAATAATGTTTTCTTTAATGCTGAGCGCAATAGGATTGCACGAATTGTTCATTAAATTATGTTCTTTCGCTTATCCGGCACAGTCCACGTCACCTCGCGTAATCTCGTAAATGT